ATCAAGAGACAGGGAGTACTCTAAATCATTATTTATTTCATTATTGGCAAGTTGCCAGTTACAACTGCCTTCTGACGTTTTTTCATCGTCAAGGTTGATTACAAAGGGTACAATGTTGTTTAAAACATAACCTCCATTGTAATCAAATCCGGCTTCGGTATCAGCTTCTTCTCCGCTGTCCGTGCCATGGGCCGATGATTCAGTATCGGATTCGTTACCATAAAGGAGAGAATCAGTGAAATAATTCTCATACCCTTTGAATGGTTGCTTATCCGCGACCACCGTCCTAACCCTATTATCAGTGTCGACATATTTCAAACACTGATGGAGAGTTGAGGGGATTATAACGTTACTATGGATCCAAGGCCGACCCAATAGTAAGTTATATGAAGTTTCGGCATCGATCACATAACATGTGACTTCTGTCTCCAAATCTCCCATTTGACACTTTACCCGGATTTTACCCAAAGGTCTTGACCCGCTAGTGTTGAATCCGTAGATAACAGTGCCCGTGGATGCCAACTTGCTAACTGGAATGCTGAGGACATGCATCAAGCGAAGCGGCATAATACTCACAGCAGAACATGGATCCACTTGGATTCGGTTGACTTTGCTGGAGCCGATGTACCCGATGAAGTATAGCGGTCGATCGTGGTTCGAATTCTTCGTCTGCATGTCCTCTTTGGTGAAAGTAATGCAGGGAAGGTTCTTAGTCGCTATGTTGCAATGTTGACTCAGCAGTTCCGGTTCTTCATTTTTAGTCGCTATGTTGCACTGTTGACTCAGCGGTTCTGGCTGTTCAGGCACCGGCTTGATTTGAGTCAGAAACACCTCTGAATTGGCCAAAGCTTCTTGCAAGGCCTCCCTGGTTTCCGACAAAAAATAGGACAAATACAACCGAAATGATGCATGCACAGTCACAGTTGAAGGAGAGTCAAAATTTTGGAGAAAAGGGGAAGAACAAACCTTTGAAATCTGAGTGAAATCTTCCCAAACAAGAGCACCTCCCAAGTCGGCAACAAAGAGGAGAAGAAATAGAAGAAAACTGGTCGAAAATCGCCCAAGAATCGCCCAAAAAATCGCCAAAATCCGACGTAAAAAACCCTAAAACCCTAAGTCCCGACTTATATAGCAGCCGGGCGAGACAGGAAACTCTGTCTCGCTGAGCGAGACAGACAACTCTGTCTCGCCGAGCGAGACAGAAAACACTGTCTCGCCCAGCGAGACAGAAAACTCTGTCTCGCCGAGCGAGACAGTAAACTTTTCTGTTTTGCACTATGGAACAGTGGAATACTCCAATGGGTACACGAGTCTAAACTG